ACAGATAATGTCCGCATTGACATGTTCTATGTTAATAGACAGTTGTTGTATACTTAACGAAAGCCAACATGAATATAAATAGAAATGGCTTTATCCCTACAACAAATCAATCATTCAAGCTATTAAAGGCGAAGACAGATGCTGTTGCTGTTGCTGTTGCTGTTCTTGTTCCTGTTCCTGTTGTTGTTGCTCAGCACCCGTTTCACTGCCAATATAAATACATATTTATTTATTTGAACGAGTATGTGGTAAGTATATGTGCATAATACTTTCGGTTCGCCCAGACCCGACAAAACACACACATAGGTAGAAATCGAACGAGCCATCAAGCAAATGCGCAAAATCGGCCATGCTTGCGCAAACATGTCCGCGCTCGCACACTTTGCAAAGCGGCCTTTTTTTTTGTTGCCAAGCGCTCGCAAACACTTGAAGATTGACAGTCGATGTTGATGCCGCTGCTGATATGCCGGCGATATCTTTGTGTCTATGTGTGTGTGTGTGTGAGTGTGTGTGTGTGTGTGTGTGTGCATTCGTGTGTTTACACAGCAGCAGGGCTTTGAGTTAGCACGTGTGCTTGTGTATGTTTATTTGTGTACATGTGCCAGATACTATATTCATATATGCAGTCAATTCTTTCCGGGTCTCTTTTGTTGCCACATTTTTTTCACTCTAACTTTTCACTTTGATTGCGTTTGAATTTCCGTTTCGCTCACTTTTTCAAAAACGCCCAACCAACAGACCGCCCATCGTGCACCGCTCGCCTCGCTCGACCCGCCCCGCCCCGCCCTGTGCCCCAATGCGGCACAGAGGCACAGCGTGTGCTTCGCATGCTCTCTGGTGTTTTTCTTCTTCATTCTGTGTTTTTTTTTTTTTTCAAATTCATTGAATTTGAGGAATATTTTTCAAAGCCTAGCACACTGCTGCCACGACTCCGTCAAACCAAACAAAATAAACAAACAAGCCGGCAAACTGACATGGGGACATACATATAGAATACTATATATGTACATATGTATATATACAAGTAGGCAGTACAGGAGTACAGAGTGACAGACAAAAAGATAGACAGGCAAACATGTTTGCATTTCAAATCCAAGCGCGAGTTCTCTTTAGTTTTTCTGCACGCTGCCATTAAATTGCACAGAGGGGGGAACAGCAGCACTTCACGCAGAGAAGAGGAGGGGCAGAGACACACTAACACACACACACACACACACACACACACACTGCCTTATACAGTGAAAGCTGCATAATTATGACCCAAAAACAAGCAAAGAACATTAGCAGGCGTGCTACTAATTTTAATGAACTTTGAAACCTGCCTACCAGACTTATCCTCAATTTACTTGTAGATAAAGAGATGCTTCAAGAGGCAAGGGTATTCCTCGAATGCCTAATCGAGAAGGCACGAGTTGGGGTTTTTATTTGATGAAATGCAATAAACATGTTCAAGCTGCTGTAATTTTGTTTAGTTGTTCCTTTGGCGCGCTTCATCGTTCTATTTTCATCCCATGTTGATCCAAGTCTTGTAATAGTGATTTGTGGCATCTGCGACGCCTACTATATAGCTGTGGGTGGTTTATAAAATAGATCCACCCGCCAGCTGAAAACTGCTTAGCCTTTTGTTGTTTTTTCTCAAAGAAGGAAATATATATATATATATTTTTTTTTATTTTATTTATTTATATCAAATGATCTCTAAAACAATCTTGCGATGTTATACGAGTAGGTTCCACAATCTACATATGATGGCCCGAGTTCCACCAACGTTCTTCTATATTTTGTAGGGTATACAACTACGGTGAAAACTAACTTAATGGACACCTCTTTTATCCGGACACTCTCCTCGGCGGACACTTTTTCTACAACATTCGATCGGTGTATCAAGTATTTAAGTATCCCCTTAAGCGGACAGTCCCCTTTGGAGGACAAAAATTGGCCGACTATGAGTGTCCGGCCAAGAGAGGTTTCACTGTATTTTAATAAGGAGTATGAAGAGTATGATTATGTAGCTACTTTTATTCACTATTTGATTTGCATTTGGATTAATTTCTGTGGCATCTGCGACGCCTACTATTTACTATATGTATCTGTGGGTGGTTTATAAAAAAGATCCGCCAACCAGCTGAAAACTTTTTACTCTTTTGTAGTTTAATATCGAGGAAAAGAGTAATTATTCGATCTTAAAATGAAACTTGCGCATTTTTCTATATCTTCTAGGGTGCTTAGGTAGGCATGTATAGTAGTAGCTATGTATGTATACTTTGTAGCTTCATTTTCCCCTTTTTTAATTTGCATAAATGAGTATTTCTTTTCGGTTTTTTGCCTTTGTTTATTAATGCCAATTAATCATATCTGTTTATACTACTACTAATAATAATAGACAGTTTTAAAAAAACTGCTAATACAAAAAAAAAAAAAACTTATAATAAACCTCAGTTAATATGTACATATTGGTTCTTACTGGAATAGTCCCTGATGGGCACTATAGAATTTATTTAACCTATGATGATACTACTAACTTATACAGTTGTTGAAAAAGAAAGAAATTACATTTAACATGTAATGGAAATTGGCCAAAAAACATTACTAATAAATGTTACAACATTTTTTATTAAACAGGGGGGAATATTTGAAAACTAAAAGGATTTAAAGAAGGGGATCTACTTAAAGGCGATTATCATTCGTTTAACCACTAAAGTTTGTTGCGTATTATGGTTGTTTTTGTCTTTATCTCTTTATCTTTATCTTTGTTTTTTTGTCTTTTTTCTCTATTTCCTATTTTTTTGGTCAAAACGCATTTCATTAACTGCTGATGTGTTGGGCATGTTGATGGTTTTTGTTGTTGCTCTCCCATATATACTATACTATATAAATGTTGTGGTATTGGGATTCCTTATTATTTCATTATTTCTTTTCTGTTGTAAGTTCGGATTAGGCTGCTTGCACTGTACTCTACACACACACACACACACTCAGACACACACACACACTCAGACACACACACACACTCACACTCACACTGACGACGATACTGACGACATATTTGCACATGTAAATCGAATACGGGCCGCAGCTGTGAGTTTATTAACGTGGTTGGTTCAGTATGTGGCTGTGTATATGGCATGGCATAGGTATGTACAAGTATGTGCTGGGTAAGTGCTGAGGGGTGAAGGCTGGTCCTAGTACTAGTATAAGGGGGGCCCACTCCTGCTCTGTCGCCCAGCGCACATTTTCGACTCAATGACAGCAAACATTTACATTTCGTTGTTGTCATCGACATCGACATCAACATCGCCATTGCTATCGCCATCAACGCTTTCCAATGCTCACGTCACGCGGCTTAGCCGTCCGGACCCGTCCGCTCCCAATTGTGTTTTGGCAACCGTTTTGCTCTTGGCTGCCCTTTGTTGCTGCCATTCGACTTGTCAGTCATTGATAAGACTTCGGCACTTTCAATTTGGTCGGTTGGGTAGGCCACATTTTTTATTTCGTCTCTTAAGGCTTTCTCAGCTCTCTCAGTTAATATTTATTTTGATGGACCACTGACCACGGACGCTGTCAAGTGGGAAAGGGTACGACTGCTTATCAGACAAACCCCTAAAGCGATACTTCAATGCTTCAACCACCACACTTTCTCTCCACAACTATCGTGTGTTTCTGTGTGCAGATAACCCGATCTGCTAAGAAAATATATTCTTAAACAATGATGTGTTGATAAAAAAAAATGCACAAAAAGCAAACATCATTTAGATTAATTGCTGGCACACAACACAACAATTATGGTTTCTTATCAGACTAGAAGGATAGGTGGTAAGGGCGTTTTGCGAGCCCCTCTTGCCTATCCTCCGCACCTACTCTCCACCCTACCCTGCCTATAATTGCGGACTTAAACGGCATTTCGTGTTTCACTTTTGCCCAATAAGCTGTGCAGTTATAGCTTTAGTATAAGTGAGTAATAATAATCATTTACATATACACACATATATGAGAAGTACGTTTAATTATCTGCGACATAATCTCTTTAGCGTGGAGGGGCAATTCTTTGTCTATGCTGTTTGCCTTTCAAAAACAATCGAAACCTATTTAAAATATAACTCAATACTTGTAATTATTAAGTTATCAATTAAGTTAAAAGTAAAGGTAATAATTGTTATTAGTACTGTAACTTTGATTTAGTTTTAGCATCAGTTCTGCACTAAAAAAGTGTTGGAATTAATAAATAAATAGCTTAGTCATTAAAAAATGACGTACTTAAGAGCAAAAACAGACCTTTTAATAACCCTTTAATAACAACTTTTGTGCTACCGTTTCTTCTTTGAACTAACATTTCGTTTACTGAACATAAAAATAATATAATATACGCCAATATTACGCAACACAACCTGAAACCACCTAACTAATTTGTTTAGCTTACTATTTGAAATAATTTGATTTGATTGTAAAGCCCTTTTGGATCATCAAATCAGCTTTGAAGTTTCTGAATAGTTGCTTGCCTTTATCCTATATTGTTTTTCTTTCTTCTTCTTAGTCTGTTATTATAATGTTTTGATCCCATAGATTCGAATGAATTAACAGGGGTTAAGGGGGTAGGTCGTTGGTGCTTGTTTCTGTAGCTTCTTATAAAGCCATTTATTCATTATTGGCTCTACCTATATGCCTCTAGGTCTGGTCACATTGCAAAAATAGTTCACACTATTTATGGGAGAAAGTAGAGTTTATTTAAACTATTTGAACTTTCTGTAAATTTCAAAAATATGTAACCGCCAAGAAGTACGTTCAAGTGATGGTAGTAGCCCAAACTGCCGGTAGATGGCGCGATTTGTAAATGGTTGGAGTTTTCACTACACAGAAAGTAGCTTTGAAAAAGCTCAGACACTAGACTAGACACAACACGTGTTGAGTTTCAATTAAGCGCAGACACCACTTGTATACCCTTCACAAAGAGGCAGTCTCTGACTACAAATAATAACAGAGCTGCATAAAATGCCAAACTAACCTAACTCCTTGATTTCATTTATTTATTGACATACAATGGGTTGAATTTAAATATACTCTATCCATACTTATTATTAAACAGAAAAAAGACTGAAAACCCGGAAACACTTTGATTAGCTGTTGCTTATAATTTCTTTCTAATGGACGTTATTCTTTTGTTGAAATACTTTTCAACCAGTTCGGCATATTAGTACAAAATTGTTTATTGGCTTTGATTTAAATTTAACATATTTATTTATTATTGATTTTCATTATTTTTTGGGTCTGAGACTTGTCTTGTGTTTGTCCCCGCTGTTCACATTCAATCGAGCACTGTTTTAAGTCAAATAAAGCACTAAGAATAAACAAAAACTCGTTCAAGTTGTTAATCTGTTGATTCTTCTTCTTTGTTTATACAACTAGCACTCTGTTGTTTTGGGGGGAGACACCAGAAGTCACTCTTTGCAGTTCGCCAGGGGTATGCATCGTCCCAGTGGATTGCGCGCGTAGCCCTTGTTGCAGTAGCAGCCATCCGGACAGCGTATGTGCCTGATCAGGCACGGCTGGCCCAGGGTGTCGCACTCGGTCTGGCAGCTGGGGCCGCAGGCCAAATACGACTCATTCGGTCCGCACTTGCGAGGCGCTGCAAAGGTCAAGTTCCGGGGGCTTAAGTGGGTTAATCACAAATGCCTGCAATGGCTATACTAACTGCCTATCTGGGCGCATACAAGCCCAACAATTGCAAGACAGCTCAGCACCAATAATAGATATTGTCTCATCATCTTAGCCGCTGCTCTGATTTTTTATTTCCACCTGCCAGGTGCGGTCTCAGCCAACAACTAAACTGGTTGGCGTGTTCTGAGCGCGCTTTTGTCTACGATAACGCCGAACAATCGGAACGATCGGCGGGGAAGCACAGCACGTCGCGACGTGTATGTTAATTGAAGCTCAATACTACGCGTTAAATGAATTGATTTTTCACTTCTCGTATTGTTTTAAATGCTGTTGTTGTTCCTTTTAACCAGGTATTTATGTAATACAAGTAAGTAAGTAGAACACGTATTACATTCAAAATATTTATCTTTCTCAAGTCTCAAACGAACTCTGAACGTTCAGATATTATTTCAATACGACATTTTTAGCAGGCGGCCCACAAGTGTTAATTTTTTAAGCAGCACAAGTATTTGTATAAAATAAATAAATAAATATTTGTAGAAAAAAAATTGCAAGAATTTAACATTTCTTAAAGTCAAAGAGAATTCAATACTGAATACATAGTATACATATTTAAGGACTTCCATAAATATTATATCATCAAGATCAATTAACCCTTTTATTCACAAAAATTTGGTATCTTCTCTAGAAGTGAAAATTAAATTTGCCTTTAAAGTGCTTTTAAGACTTCTTTTTTGGAAAATTATTTTTAAAAATTTCTCTGGCAGTTTGTAACCCAAATACTGCAGCGTAAAAGTTGAGTTGATATTGAATAATAAAACAATTGGTAATTCTCGTATCTTTATTACAAAATATTGTTTAATTTTAAACTTGTAGTTTATAAGTTTTAGTTCGAAATTCATTTCTAAAATAAGAATAAAATTCATTTATAAAATTCAAATTCTTAACACAATTATTAATTTTTCACTTTGTAGTCAATTTTATAATTCACCACTTGGACAAAAAATGGCGAAATCCTTGTATGTTTCTCCCAGGAAAACTTTTGATACTAATCTTTTAACTTTCTTTTAATATTATTTAAAATTAATTTCAACTAAAACTTAATTTTAATTTTTTCTACATTTTATCCGTCGCGTAAACGTGGCCGCAGAATGCGTCTCCAACGCTATTATTTGCGACTATACTTGTATGCATAAATTATAGATCAGCGTAAGGAGAGGAGTCGATATCTATATGTCTGTCTGGATTACGGAGAAGGTTTGACGTACGGCAACCAAACTTGACATTTCGATGCACCCTAGAATTGGAAAAACAAGTTTATTTTATTTTTGGTATTCCCTTCTACCTCCCTTCCCCTCTCCCAAACTTCAAGGCAAATCAAGCCTAGGCCTGTTAACATAATCTGAGGAAATTCAAAAAAGTAAAATAAACTCGTATAGACTAGGCACTAGGAGCGTCTGCATACCAAGTTTGATTTATGTACGCTCAGCCGTTTCCGAAATCCAGGCGTTCATCCAGACAGACGGACGGACAGATGGACGGATAGACGGACGGACAGACGTACGGACAGATGTACGGACATGTCTAGATCGATTTCTCTCGTCATACAGATTCAGAATATATACACTTTATGGGGTCGGAGATGCTTTCTTCTGCCTGTTACATACTTTGCACAAACCCAATATACCCTTTTTACCCTACGGGCGCAGGGTATAAGAAGTGTCTATCTAGCTGTGCTTCATTTTCGAGCCTAGAACTTGTCCACGGCTTAGAAGCCGATTCTTGGCATAGCGTACACTCAGTGCTAGGAGGTAGAGCGCAGACAAAAGGAAGGCCAACAATATAAGCCAGGCGTCCAGATTGTGATATTCGATGAAGTTGAGTTGCTGCGAGGGGCTGCGCAAATGATGGGCGCCCTTGTGTCGCGCCACATGCTCCACCCAGAAGATGGCACGCTTCAGGGGCTCCTCAGGCTGGTCCCGATAGCGCAACGACATCTCCCGCACCAGTTTAGTGGCCTGCGTGTCGTTCAGGATGCGTTCGATGGCCCCCACCAGCTTGGCCGCCGTCAGTTCCCTGTAGCTGACGGTCAGGGCATATCCATTTCGCTCGGCACAGGCCATGTTGAAGAACTGATCGAACCAAACGGGAATCCCCACAAAGGGCTTGCCATGGTAAATGGCCTCAGTGGTGCTCAGCAGTCCGCCATGCGTGATGAAGGCAACAACGCGTTCGTGGGCCAGTATGTCGGCCTGTGGAAACCAGTCCGAGATGTACACATTTTCCGGCCTATTTGGCAAATCGGGTTCCTCAAACTTCCACAAGACGCGCTGCTTCAAGCTGCCCAACGCTTTCAAAATCTCTACACGCTTTTCCGGCGACATTGTCGAGCTGCGCAGCACCGAGCCCATCGAGAAGTAAATAACGCCGTGCTCGGCGCCGTTAATAAACTTCTCGATATCGGCAGGAAGTGGCTGAGGCTGGCGCCGGATGTGCATGCCGCCCACTTCGATTAAATTGGGCGGATGGGGTCGCGCAAAACTCAGCACTGGGTGCTGATTGAGCAGCAATAGCGACGTATTCCGGCGCATGTCGTAGAAATTCTGTGTGTTGGCGGGGAAATATGTTTTGTAAATCCTGCTCGGGCAAATATCTGAGCTGTGCATATAGGTGATCCAGTGTCAGTATAGCCAGATTAGTCACACGCTCCCTCAACGACATCTGGCTGCTGTACGGCAACAGGCCATGTGGCACATAGGATGGTGGAGACAGAGCACCAATCTAGGGATATGACATGTATTATCTAGCTCCTTGTTATCAAAGACAATTAGATTCCTTGACAGGTCAACTTGCTACCCGTGTAGTAGAAAAGAGTAGAGGGACAGACTCACAGAGAGAGAGAAAGAGAGAAAGCGAGAGAGAAAGTACGAAAAATCACCTGAAGAGTTGTAGAGTATCAGTCAAGATAGAGAAGGTCTGCCAGCCCATTATCCAACGCATCTATGTATGGATATGACATGTATTATCTATATCTATATTATTTATATCTAGAGAAAGAGAGACAGAGAGAGAGAGAGCGAGTATAAAAGATCACTTGAAAAGTTGTAAAGTATCAGTCAAGAGAGCAAGCAATTGCTGAAATTTAGATTCCTTGACAGGTCACTTTCTACTCGTGTAGTAAAAAAGAGTATGGAGAGAGAGAGAGAGAGAGAGAGAGAGAGAGGGAGAGGGAGAGGGAGAGAAAGAGAGACAGAGAAAGACAGAGAGAGGGTCAGAGATTATAAAATAAATCTATCTATGGGTATGACATGTATTATCTATATCTATATTATTTATATCTAGAGAAAGAGAGATAGAGAGAGAGAGAGAGAGCGAGTATAAAAGATCACTTGAAAAGTTGTAAAGTATCAGTCAAGAGAGCAAGCAATTGCTGAAATTTAGATTCCTTGCCAGGTCACTTTCTACTCGTGTAGTAAAAAAGAGTATAGAGAGAGAGAGAGAGAGAGGGAAAGAGAAAGACAGAGAGAGGGTCAGAGATTATAAAATAAATCTATCTATGGATATGACATGTATTATCTATATCTATATTTTTTATATCTAGAGAAAGAGAGATAGAGAGAGAGAGAGAGAGAGCGAGTATAAAAGATCACTTGAAAAGTTGAAGAGTGTCAGTCAAGAGAGAACAAGCAATTGCTGAGATTTAGATTCCTTGCCAGGCCAACTTACTACTCGTGTAGTAAAAAAAGTAGAGAGGGAGGGAAATACAGAGAGAGGGTAAGAGATTCTAAAATATATCTATCTATGAATATAGGATGTATTATATATTATATTATTATATATCTAGAGAGCGAGTACGAAAATTCACTGGAAAAGTTGTAGAGCATCAGTCAAGACAAATCCAGCCTACCAGCTTATTATCCAAAGCAGTGGTCATATATCTCTAACCTATGGATAGGACATGTATTATCTACCTCTTCATTTTCAAAGATAATTAATGAATTACTAAGATTTAGATTCCTAGGCAGATCAGTTTGCTAATAGTGTAGTAGAAAAGAGAAGAGAGACAGAGACAGGGAGATCATAAAATATCACTTGAAATGTTGTAGGGTTTCAGTCAAGATAGATCGGGCCTACCAGCTCATTATCCAAGGCAGTAGCCATATAGCAGTTGAGCACAATCAGGGGTGCATTGAAGTGCTCGGCTAAACCAAAGTGCGCCTCTCCCATATAGAAATCGAGTATGACCGCGTCGAAAGTTTGATTCGAGCGCCTCAGTTTCTCAACGGCCGGCTCCTTTTGGAACATTTCGGTTATAACAAGGCCGATTCCGTACAATATTAAACCTTGCTTCACTGTCCAGCTAGCGCCCAAGTCAAACAGATTCAACGATTTTTCTACTCGACAAGATACGATGAATTAGCTATGAATTGGATCGAAACTAATTATACTCACTCTCGATATTATGAAGTACGTTCGGTACGGGAATGTCAGTTATATTTTCAATTGGCTCCTTCAAGCTAAAAGGCGACACAAGGGTCACCTGGTGACCTGCCTCGGCCAGACCTTTGGCCAGCGCCAGACCGACATTGTAGTGCGATCGCGCAGGATTCGGAAGTGCAACGAGAAAATTAAATGCAGACACGTAGCCCAGAACGCTGAGCAGAAGCAGCAGCAGCAGCGTAAAACCAGTTTGTCTCCCAACACACGACATGGCTATTTACGCGGCACAGTCTCGAACACAACTGCGGGCCACCGCCTGGCTGTGATATTCGTATACCTTGCGAGGAGTTGGGCACTTCGTGTGCAGGTAGACAGAGCGACTGCAGGGTGTAGAGGGGGGAGAAAAGGTCGCTAGAGAGAGAGAGAGAGAGATAGTTGAGCTGAGCTCTTAAACCCTGCACAGGAAACATGAGAGATTCAGCGCCTCATTATTTTATATAAGTTAAATATTATTAAAATCAAATGATTTGAAATTTTTTACAAGACCGACAGTTCTTTTTTATTTGCGACATAAATCAGAACTGAAGCTACTTTAGATTTTCTATTATTTGAGCGCAGTTGCGTCTCTGCCTGCAGTTGCTCAGGTAGACGTGGCAATTTGTTCCCATGGGAAGTGCTTCAAGCACTTGGTCAGCATATGTTGGTAACTTCTTTGGTGTTAACTTATATTCACCTAATTCTGTTTTTACACGGTAGATTGGTTCCAGAAAACACCGTGTAAAATCAGAATTAAGAGTACTCATAAAACACACGCCCACACGTAAATTTAAATATTTACACGTAGATTTAAATATTTTTACCATCGATTTCTCACCGCAGTGTTGAATTTCGAGTTCAACATTAAAATATTACATTTAAACTTTAAATTTTAAAGTAAGATGATATTTAACATCCGCATAGATCTGTTCTTTTAAAAATTTCTATAGTCTGACAAATTTTTAAACATCCTCTATCCCGAAATCGATCCCTTATTTATGACCGACTCAGCATTTTTCAGAATTTTGTATACACTGTACCTGCAGTCAAATATTATATATTAGGTTTGTGCACAGTATATAACAGACAGTAAGAAGCATATCCAACCCAAAAAAGTACATAAACGTATATACTTGTATAAGTATATATAGCATGACGAGAGAAAATCCGTCCGTCCGTCGGTCTGTTTGTCTGGTTGAACGCCTGGATTGCGGAAACGGGTTTCTTTGTCATAAACAAAATATTTTTAACACTTTTTTGTCTACTCTACTGTATTTAAGTGTTTTCAATAATGACATTTTGGAATGCACAATTTATTCATATAAAATACTTTTATTGAAAAGTATTTTCCCAAATTCTTCTGTTATTTATAAATGAATTCATGGCGTAGATGAATATTGATATTAAAAGTGAGCAAAATCTCATTGACATATTGAATATTAAACTGTACTATGAAATATAGTAGATTTAACTATTTGTTATTTGCATATTAAAATAAAATATGGTCCAACATTAATGGCAAAGATATACACTTTGTTTTGAATTTTTGAATCAGAAATTGGATATGTGTTTAGGTAAATTTACATCATTTATATTTGATTTGAATACGAAATATTAGAACATAGAACTGAATATTCAGTTTTCTATGAAACAATTTTTTTTGCCAGTTGCCGATCGGTACAAAAATGACTATTAGATTAACTTTTTTGCGACGCCATAAGCTTATCATTTAATCTCAATTCGATCGAAATCGATAACTACATGTATATCGTATGGCTGTCAGAGAAAAAATCGATTGATTGATTGACAACAATGTTTATTTCAGCTGAAAGGGTCTAAGGAAGGTACTCTATATTTACTGATCAATTTGTTGAACCCGCTAATAGAGTTTAGTGAAGTAGGTCTAAAAAACAGAATATATACATATGAATGCCATTAATTATGGAAGCTCTAAGGAAAGATGGTACCAGTTAGAAAGCCTATAGTATTCGAACTCTATTCTAATTTAAAGAGTCCTCATGGACTCAAAAAATTATTCAATTGATTAATAAACCTAGTGCCTAGTGGGAATGCAAGTATAATTAAATAATAATTTAATCGCAGTGCCTATTATTTAAAAGAGTCATGAACACACGAGCCTTCCTCAGAAACCTGACCCAATAACCATTGGGCGCCTAATCAAGCTAATTATTTTCGCAAGATTCGTTAATTTGGCTATCAGTTGGACGGGGGGAGTCTTTGCCTGGACAGGGGCCACCTTTCGCTGATCCCAGCTGTCAGGCGGGCCTCATGAATTATGGCAAGCATGTGCAAAAATCTATAAAACGAAATAAAATTCGAAGAGTTCAGTCCGAACATAATTTATTAATAACAATTGCTTTGTCTGTTTGTAGTAAACACAGTGAGGATTCGGCACACGGACAGCGAGTGACGCATTGTGGCTGAATTTACAAAGTGTCGTATTTATTGTGGCTTCGCTGTAAGCGGAACTCAGTTATATGCACTTCCATTAGAGCCACCCATCTGAAAAATAGACAGACTGACGATGAGCATGATCTTCAATTTATTATTATTATAATTTTTTGATATTTTGGGGGACTTTGAACCGACGCTGCGCCTGGGTGGCTTCTCTTCTGGAGAAGCGTTTATTATTTATGACAATTTAATGATCATGTCATAGTCATTAAAATGATTGAAAGGTTTGAGGGCAGCTAATGAGGCAAAGACTTAGGGAAGCGGCAGATGATCAGCACAAAAATAAGAAATGAAAATGGAGAATTGAAAATTGAAAATGGAGAATTGAAAATTGAAATAGGAGAATTGAAAATGGAGAATTGCAAATGGAGAATGGTTAAAAATGAGCGACTGATAAAGCAGTTTTAAATTGATTTTATAGAACTTACCAAGGTCAACAGCTTATCAATGTAATGACTGCATTTTTGTTGAAATTCAAATGTTTAGTCAAAACAATTAGTTTTGTGTTATGTCTCTGGTGAGATTAAATATCAATAATCCGAGATGATTGAATTTCCATATCTGTAGATCATCTGTTATCATAATAATTAAAAACAAAATTGTTGTCTAGTTTTTACTGAATTGCGTTAAAGCCCTGATTCTCACCTGCACACCTAAACTTGTAATACTTGTAATGCATTATCCCTAAACCCAAGACTATCAAGCAGAGTTCTACTTACCATTTTTTTTAGTTTGTTAGGTATATAATCGGGTCATAGCTGACCAAATGACAAATAAAAGTTTCGGCATTAATAAAAGTCGTAGGCATTAATAGACGTTATTGTACAGTTTTTTCTCAGGCTTTCTTATCTCTTAACATGAAATTATAACGTAATATTATTGCATATCTTTGTTGTTATTTATAATATTAAATTATAATATATATCATAGTCTTAGTAATATGCATCGACAGCACTATTTGTTGACTTATTAAATAAATAAATAAAATATTATACAAATACACCAAAACAAGTGAATCTGAATGGCCGTCGGTTTGTTATCAAATCGCCGATTCATATACTATACATTTGTTTTGGACTCGTTTTCATACGAGTAGTTACGAAATACCTTGGAAACGTAAATATTTGTAATTGCGGAAAAACTTTTTCGCCGACACACAACGCTCGACAAACAATTCTAGCACTCGCTTCTCCCCTGGTGCCGAGTGTTATTGGAATGATCACGGTGTGGCACACCTATTAATTGATAAGATTTATTGACACCAAAGTTTCTCAATTGACGCCTCGCCACTGACCCCGAAAACTGATGATGCCTATTGACAGTGAAATTGCGCCTCTGGTACTATTTTATAACGAGCCTCTCCGCCCTCTTTGGTTTTGCTTTTACGCGAGCGCACACATACCACTATATACATATAGTATACTATATACTTACGTATTTATAAATATATATAAGGTTGTGTATATTTACGATTTACGAGCGGAACTACAACTGCCCGCTCCATAGCCCCTGCTTTCCATATTCCGCGTTCAAGAAGAGTGTTAAATTTCCCGTTGTAGTTCGCACTTGTGCGTCCGATCGGGGCCATACCGACGTCATATGTTTATATAGACAAGGGGGCTGATAACTTTTTTCCAGGCAATCCCCCCCTTAATGGCACATTAATTCAGCATTTGGTGACTGTGCACCCGGATCGGCGACTCGGCCGCATTCGCGTCTATCAATATGGGCGTGCGTCCATAATGAAGGTGATGCCAAAAGCTATCGGAACTTTTCGGTATAAATAGGTACTCGTACATTTCCATTTCAGGCAAACACTACCCACACAACTGAAGAACAAAGCGGCCATTTGGTGTTATGGGAATTTTTTTTTTTATTGTTCTACATTGTATTGCCGAATAGCGAGGACAAAAGTCGCCAAGCCTCTAGCAGGCTAACAAAATAGTAAAATGCTATAGCTTGAAAAAAAAAAAAAACATTTTTTAAATTGCAATTTTGGACCAATTTTGATTTAATTGGATTCGAAAACGTAGCTCTTTAAAAATTATTCAAATTCTTACTGCACGATCTTTGCTTGCATCTTAAAATAGAAATGAATATCTTTATTGTACCCCAGAGTGCTGTCTCCTCTTCTTTTATTTATTTTTCAGTACTTAATTAACAAAGGAACGACTTTTCTTTAACCTCATTATACCCCGTACCCAAAAGGATAAAATTATATACTACTTGTAGTATGGTGCGAGTTTACATAGAAGGAGGCGTGGCAGACCCCACAAAAAATATATATGTATGTGTTATCAATCAGCACGAAAAGACAAATCGGTATAGGCATGTCCGTCTGTCCGTCCGTCTGTCTGTATGAACGCAAGTATCTCGGAAAGTACAAGAGCTAGAATCACCAAAATCGGTATCCAAAGTCTCTTAAGTACTACTTGTAGAAATTACAAATTAATTTTTTTCTGTTTTCATTCATGTTTGCTTTCAAGTCTCTTTTAACGGACTCAAGCGACAACTTCATTAAATAACTTACTTAAGAAGTGTTAAAGAAGAGTACCTTATTTATCAAAAGTAGTATTATTATTTAATCTTTCTTGAACTAATAGTTATAGATGTTTTATTGTTAATTATATGGGCATTACTGAACCCAGCAACATCTGGTAATTGAGACTGTCTTTTAAATGCAAGCTAAGTGCTAGATAGAATGCAAGTCCGAGTTCCGACGATTTCAGATTCGTATTATCTAAAGATAATAGAAATTTAGAAAAATTATTGCAAGTCAAAAAGTATTTAGTTTGGGAAATGTATTTTGTTTCTTGAAGCTGTTGTTGCTTGAAACTGGAGACACCTCAAGCCTATTCCAACTTCTACATATACTTGTAAGCTATATTCTTGTGCTAAAAACATCCCTATGAGGGATTACGTGGAGAGACTTGGCTGGACACAGAATATGTTTTTCTATTGTTCATGTTGTGGATGGTATTGTGCACAGATGGCTGAGCACCACATATGCCCTCAAGCTGTCAGATCTGAGGGTGCATAGCCATGCACTTGATCTACATAGTATATCATGTGTGTATATATCTAGGTGTGTGTACTTGTAAATGTGTGTGCCTCTCACTTATTATCGGTCAAGCCACACATGACGCTCGATAAGCACGTGCAGGCAGCTCGGACCGGCCCGGCCCGGCCCGGCTCGGCTCGGCCTGATCGACACAATGTCGCCCACTTAGGCCGCCTAGCCTGCTACTGAACCTATAGTATATATGTATGTATGTATGTAAGTATTGTGTGTTTGTGTGGCTAAGTGCGATAAAAACCCAGTCAAACATTGAGCGAAATATCTTAAAGCCATAATTGTGGGGGTAGTGTCCACATTTCCCGACTTGATAGCTGATTAGGCGACCGATCGGAGATGGAGACGGTTCGCGATGTGATCGGCGTATGTGTGTTCTCTTTCGTTTTTTGTTTTTTGTTTTTTTTTTTTGTTTGTGTGTTTTATTTTATATTTTTTATTTAACAACAAAAATACCATAAATCATATTCGGTACACATTTGTGTTCTACAAGTATAGCATGTATATGAGTGAGTACGCAACGATTTGATTGTGGCCACCGATCTATTGCGCGATCTATAAAAATGTTGCGCTTGGCAGCCCGACGATTCAATAGCGTCTCGCAGCGCTAAGCGTGCGGTACTACCAACAAGTAACACTCATTTCTCTGTTTGTTTTTGTTTCCTCTAATTTTTTTCCGGTGCAAGTGCGACTCTCAAAAATCAAATTTGATACACCATGAGAATTTTGGCAGAGGTATACAGAATCGAATTGTTCGCAAAGCCAGTCTGCAATTATTGAAAACCTCCTTTGTTTTTTTTTATTTACATATTAGAATCAAATCGACTTGCTCGATCCATCCGAGCTTTTGAGGCCGGAACCTACATTCGCGGATAAGAATCCGTCGAAGTTTCGTGACTATACCGTCGATGCGGCCGATCCATTGAAGGAACGCGTGCGTCAGACATACCGTCAGATGCATTTGAATCAAACTGTCGACTTTGTGATGGGTGAGTGTTACGCGTATACCAAAGAAGAAGAAAACTGAGAAAGGGCAGCACAATAAATACAGTTCTGACCATGCTCTTCTCCGATTAGTATTCTATACTTGTATGGGGAGCATATCTTATAATGCAAGATTTCCTCCTAGGCTAGACAGTGTTTCAAGTTTCGAATGAAACAGTAAGTATCTATCTATATGAGCAGGATAATGATTATTTAATACTTGATAAACCAATGAAAAAGTAAGCATACAGTGAAAACTCCCTTAGTGGACAACTCTTTTATCCGGACACTCTCTTCGGCGGACACTTTTTCTAAAACATTCGATCGGTGCCTAAAGTATTTAAGGATCCCCTTAAGTGGGCACTCGCCTTTCACTGTACCAAGTATTAAAGAATCATTATTTATCCTGCCGATGAAGATACAAGTATATACCTTCCTTTCGGCCCCCGCATTTACAAGTTAGTTGTTCGCCTCCGTAACCCTCCTTTACTCAGTTGCTCCCACACAATTATTTGCACAGGACGACGCAATCGTTGGTTAAAGTTCAACACCATGAAGATGACAGTGCGAGAGGCACTCGAGAAACTGAACGATCTGGTCGATGAATCGGATCCCGATCTCGACCTGCCGAACATTGTGCACGCCTTCCAGGCAGCAGAGCGTGCCCGGCTCGAGTTTCCGGAACACGACTGGCTACATCTGACCGCCCTCATACACGACCTGGGCAAGGTAATGGCCTTCTATGATGAGCCCCAATGGGCCGTCGTGGGCGACACATTTGCCGTGGGATGTCGCTGGGGCGACAGTATTGTTTACCGCGAGGATAGCTTCGTGGGCAACCCCGATGGCAATAATCCCAAATATAACACAGACTATGGCATCTATCAGCCCAACTGCGGGATTGATAATCTCCTGATGTCGTGGGGGCACGACGAGTATATGTACAATGTCCTGAAGCACAACAATACGAAGCTGCCGGATGTGGCCTGCAACATAATACGCTTCCATTCGTTCTACCCGTGGCACAATGGTGGGGACTATAAGCACTTCGAAGCGCCAGAGGATGCCGAGACCAAAAAGTGGGTCTTGATCTTTAAGTAAGTGATTATTTTCTATCTAACATGATTGGATGGATCTAACCATTGCTTCTAACCATAGCCGCTACGATCTGTATACGAAAAGCGAGACTGTGCCCGATATTGAGTCTCTCTGGCCGTATTATCAGTCTTTGATCGACAAATACTTGCCCGGTGTCTTGGAGTTCTAGACGATTGTGTTTTTTATAATAATAATAGCATAATTGCCACCCTGACCATGGGTTTGGGCACACATTTTATATGTTCATTGATTTTTGATGCCACATATATATATATATATGATTTAAATGCCTATTCGTTGATCTATAACCATGTATCCTATATATCCCGTACTCATAATCGTTATAATTTCCTTTTTACAATGCAACGCTATACATAATTAAAGATTTCATTTATTACACAATAGAAGCTTGGTCATTGCATTTAATTATGTTGGTAATTGTTATTTATAACAGTTATGCCGTTTGTGAAACCCTTGATGTTGATTCTGATGATGGTGGCGATGAAGATACAAAGGCTTCTCAACCCAACAGATCGTCTGCTATGTAAGACTAACTGTAGAACTTTGATGTCCACGGTCGTGCGTCTTTGAGGAGCCTGCATGGACGAATTATCGCCAGTTGTTCACGTCCCTGCCTCTGCTGTGGCTATGGCTGGGACGACTACCCTACTCTGCTGGAAGAGCGATTCGAGGCAATGTGAATAGTGAACTCGATCCTGCTCTGAACTTTCCTGCATTATGCGATTGTTGGCGCTGTGTCTGCCGCCACCAGCTGCACATCCTCGCCTTCAGACAGAAACACGCATCTCACACACATGAAAGAGCGGGCAGCGATTTGCCATAAATGAATAAGCATTGTCGTCATCATCAGCTGCAGTCTTGGCTGCCCATTTTTCCACATCGTTCCTGTCCTCGTCCCAAAGCAAATCATGGGTATGAATCGCACTGAGTCGTTAGAGTCCTAATCATCGGCTTCCAGTTGCTTATCTCTTGTATCGGCTATCTCGCTTGCACTCGACGTCCCAGCACCTTCACCTGCAAAAAAAATAAGCATTAGTTTATTTTAAATAGCTATGGTAATAAATTTGGTTGTCGCTTACCTTTGATCTGATTGAGAAACGCCTTCGCGCTGCGTTTCCGTTGCAGCTGCACTTGTTTCTCAGCCCATTGCGTCTGCCGCGGGCAATTAACTCCAGCTTTTCTTTAAATTGCTGCCCTTGGCATTCTGGATAGAATGGCACTCCTCTGATCTTGGTAAGTTGTTTGGAACTGTGCGGCCCATACTTACTGGCCGCCAGTTGGGCTGAAGTATTCGGCCTTATAACAGAGCACATATAGAAATCATTAAATTCCTTTATCAAAACAATTATGTTTGGACCACAATTATCATTGGAATGTTGTCAATAGCTTTAGAACAATATATAAATAACTAGTCCGATGGCAGACAGTATATGGGACTGTTCTTTTTTCATCACATGTCGACGAAATGGGCGCTTGGCGCCTGTTTCCACAGAAGCCATTTGTACCTTGAGCTAATCAGCTCATGCCCCAGGCATGTGATTAGTGGAGTTTGCAGAATTGTGCATTGTGTGGCAAGTCACTCGCCTCCAGCTGTGTTAAATAACATATTGCTTAGCCGACTCGAGTCTCAGCTCTGAGACACTGCGGCTGGGCAGGCTGTAAGTGGCAGTGGCAGTCCTCACCGGATGGGATGTGTTGCTGCATGATGTGCCGACCAGGCCGACGGTTCTCTTCCAAGTGGATATATCATATCTTCTCGCCAGGTTTTCGAAACACGCTGCTGCACGGGATGCTATTCAGGCTCCTGTGCATCTTTTGTTATTTTGCTTAAAAAACATTGAAAACATCGATGGTCGCAAGCATCGGTTTCGATATGCGATTTTAGCATAACCATGGGTAGCACTTTTAACACTCGTGGTATAGCCGTAAGCTTTTGTTTGTGTGTTAGCGAGACAAGCGCGCGCAATCAGTTTATTTGAAACGAATCCAAATATAGTACGATGTGTAAACAAATAGAATTTAGTTATACAAATAAATTAATAATTGAATTTGTTTCTTTTTTTATTTTTTCATTAATGCTATCAATATATTCATACATGGAATTAATTTAAGTGTTGAATATATTTAATTTAATCATTAAAATCAGCGAAAAGTTACATTTCGCTGTGGCAAGTAAGAAAGAACAAAAAAGAAAAAGAAAAACTATGTATATGCAGCCCCTTAGATTCAATTTCTCGATTTCTGAAAGATAATACATAGCTGTAAGACTATAATAATTTCAACACAACCCCGCAAAACTCAAACGAAATATTACGAATACCTAAAACTGTATTAAAAATACACATGCATCCATTTTGAAAACATTACTAATAATGTTGAAAACAATGTATTTAATGTAATTAGTACTTTAGTTGCTTGTGCCCTAACTAACAAGCGACGCTTGTACCACTAGTATACAAAATATACATAATAAATATTTGGAATTCTACAAATAAAGCTGCTGTTAAATAAATTACGCGTAAATTAATATTTCTTTTGGGCTTGTACTAAATAAAATGCCTTTGATTAGAAGTGACTTGTAAGCTCAAGCACAAATGGCTGGACGAGACATGCAACATTTTCAAATGTGGAAGTTGGTTTTGCGATTTTCCCAAATTCCTCAACTCTTTTATTTAAATCACTTCAAAGGCGTTTTAGATGTTTTTTTTTTTTGTAAGATGTGCTTAAATAAATGATATATACTATATTGTGAGAAAAAGGTAAAACATTGCATAAATGCGATTAGAGAGAATTACAACAGCGAGGGTTATAAAGCAGGTTTCTTTAAAGTCGGATTTGTACGTACAATGTACATAGGTGTTTTTTAATGATTGCCTTGTGTTTGAGTTCGCACGGCAGATTTCTTGATGTTGCTCTAATTAGCACGCGTCCCTTGTTGTGTTTTAATTTATCTTAGCATTAACACCCCCCACCCTAATGTCAGCTACCCCCACCCCACTCCAGCCATCACATGCGGCGGCGTGATAAAAACACGACGACTTCAGCGAAAAGTAGCAACACGTGCACTTTTCGTCCTCTACTTCTTAATTTTCTTCACCGTCTGTGTTCTCGTTGTCATCATCATCATCATCATCATCATCATCATCATCACCATCACCATCATCATTACCATTATCATAATGAACTTCTTTATCATTATGTTTGTTCATGATGTTCATTGGTAGGAGCCGCTCGAGCTCGGAATCTGTGCCTCCAGTTCTGCCCTGTCATTGTTGTTATATGCCGAATTTGTCCTGAAATGCTTTGCTAATCAATTTACCTCAACCACACTCGCACAGAAAAGTATGTGCACAAGCTCCAAACATAGACAACTTTTTGCAATACTTACATATGGCATAGGGACAGTCATGAATGAATAGTTATTTTATTTTACACAAATCTGGACAAGTTACGAAAAGCTTTAAATATTTTAAATATTCGCGAAATGAACCTTTAAGGAGTTAATAATCAAATACTAGTACGAAATTATAATAATAACTTTTTGATAATATTTATTAAAGTTTTTTTGTAAACGAATCATTGTTGATTTTTGAAAGCTTTGCACAGGATTTGTGCAATTTTTCAAATCCTGGACTGTTGTTTAACTATCAGACAACCAGAACACGCATTATATTTTTGGGATTTTATCCATATTACTGTTAAGTATTTTTGTATATTATAATTGTTTAAATATAATTGACAATTTGTTGATATCCAATCGATAAGCCAGATAGTGTTTAATGAAATCAAAACAATAAACTAACTTTAAATAAATAGTCGTATTTTGAAGAAAGTGGAATTGTTTAAAAACTTATTAGCACTTAGGTAAACATATTTAAAATCACAATTCCACAATTTTTCAATAAATAAAAATAAAAAATATTTATTTATTTTTAATGGAATATAATATTTCCCACATTTGAAGAAACCCATTTTCCTATCGAGGTAAGGGTTAGTTGTTCGCTTGCAAGTCTAAAATTTAAATTATTCAAAATATTAATGTACTTTATGGAAATAGTGATGCTTTAAGCAATGATTTTAAGCCCCAATTTAGAGTGAATATAATGCAATATATGTTAAATAAATTAAATTAAATAAAAGTTATTTAACTCAACCATATTCGGTCGGTTTTTGATTTGTTCATTAACATGGTTTATTGTTTAAGCAAAGTATGTATTTTCAATATATCTTTTATAATAATAATAATTTTCAATAAGCTGCCTTTTTTTTTGCTACTCGATGCGCCTTTTATGTAGCCTGTCTGTCCAAAAAGACAATTAAACTCGGAGTAACCTTCTCTTCTTTTGTAGGGTATTTTAAATTATTCAGTATAAGTATATTAAGAAATGTAAGACCAACTATTGTTTTTTCAAGCTATACATTATTCTGTGCTAGACTTAGCGATTGTTTATTTGGCAGCTATATAAAATAATGGTTCTTTAATTTTTTTGTAACAGACAAAATGGTATAAAAGGCCTCCATAATCAAATAAACTGATTTTCGTATGGACGGATTATGATAATTATATAGATATACTTATGTATAGCATGTCTTCGACCACGCGTACACATTCAAGGTTTTCGTGTATAGCCTTGTGCCAGCCTTTCGCTTCTACTAAGATACGTTTCAAAGGCGTAATAATCACATAAACCTATTAGCTTTAGATTTTAGTAGAGTGTGGGCTTTTCCTTTAATCCTATTCTATAATAATAAATGAAGGGACTAAGATCAAGAAGATGACCAATTATATTTATTTCGCTGCAAGTTTGTGGACAAACTTTATTTGGGAAGTGTATGTGTGTCTGTCTGTCTGTCTGGCTGCCTGTCTCTTAGTTGTTCGTATCTTTCTGCAATTCTCCGATTACTTCATCAAGGCTGTGGTTGCCGCGCCTGCCACATCCATCGCAATTCTCGCCGATGCCACAACCTTAACCTCAACTTAACTGAACTTCAACTTTCAACTTCGCTTCGGGACTCACCTGTAAAATTCCCATGGTTGGGTTTTTTGATGGCGCGCACTGTTGTCGAGCTCGTTCCCGTTCCCGTTCCCGTTCCGAGAAACCCATGGCCATGCCAAGCTAAACAGCCGGCGGCCATAAGCTCTACGGCCCCCTCCCCCCACAACATTATCGTCCTTATGTGTTGCTTCCCTTGCCGTGTCTGCTGTGTCTGTCTGTCTGTCTGCCGCTCGCCCGCCTGTCTGCCTGCCTGCCTGCCTGCCTGCCTGCCTGGCGTACGTGAAAATGAAGCATTTTCCATTTGATGATAACAAAACATGTTTGGCATATTGATGAATGCCTCTAGAGAATTGTTGTCCTGCATCACTCCAGCTGCTGCTGTTGTTGTTGTTGTTGTTGTTATTGTTGCTGTTGTTGGTGTTGCTGTTGTTATTGTTGTTGTTGCTGCTGCTGCTGTTGCTTCTGCCTGTTGTGTTTGCTTTGTGTATTTGCAGACAATGCTGCGAACACAACATTCTCACAACTCTCTCACAACACAACATTTCATCACATCTTGCGGCAAGGATTGGAATTAGGTGCCCTCCCCCCCCCCCCCCCCCCTTCCCGCTCTACACGCCTTCCTGCCCCGTCCCTCCTTTCTCTGCACTGGCCCCGGTTTGATTTTAATGATGTGACTGACATTCGCGCTCGCACCCAAAATATACGAGTATTTCAATTTTTTCTCCTGCTCCCCTCCTATTTGTACTCTATACCCTTGCCAAAAGTAATTCCATAAGTTTGCTCAGAAGGCCTGCCAGAAACCATCACCATATCGTACGAAATACAAGTATGATATAGGGCCAGATATTATTCCCAGAAAATGTTTCAAAATATTCCGCATTGGAAGGGCAAGTGGTTCTTTATTTGTTTTCTATGCTTTATACTTTTGTCAGCAATTCATTTAATTTCTTTGGGAAGGTATACAGGGACACTACTTTTTCTTATTGCTATTGTGTGTCGTAAAAGGCGAAATAAATTAACACAAAAATTTACAAAATCACAAAATTGACCAAAATCGAAAAATTATACGAAAATTAAACTACTTGTATAGTTTTCCAAATAGAAATACCTAAAAAAAAAGAAGCTAATTGGCAACCAAATCTGTTGAGCAACAGATATCTGTAGATTAAATATAGAACTCTATCACATCCAATACTACAAGTAGCTTGAAGACAATCGGATTATTGGATGTGTTTTGAAAAACTGTGCAGATTATTGTACTTTTTATAATAAATTGGTGTATATTTGACTTGGGAATGATTACCAGCTCCTTATTTAAGCAATTAAGAATGAATCTTAGCCGAATAAATAAAAATCAAATAAAATAATTACTTTAAAATGTTGGATAGAATAAATTTCACTCTCATCTAGCTAGAAGAACAGCATCCTCTTTGAAGTAGAAAGATGATTGGGCGGAATACTAGAAGAAATAAACTAGAAAACAATAATCGATTACATACAAGCTCTTAACTCAGTCCATTTCAAATAAGTATTATATTATAATCAAGGCAGATAATATACATACATATCTATAAATCTATAGTTGCTCTTTTCAACAATAATTACTATTCTGCAGCATTTTTTTGATAAATGAATTCTGGAATTGCTTTCATCTACTCATGAAAAAGTTGTTAATAAAAAAATTGTATATCTCACAAGTATATAGTATATCGTATTTAAATCGTACAAAGAAATCTGTCGAAACGGTGCCAACAATTAAGAAGACTGTCTTATGGTATCTCAGAGTTAACATGAATAGACTTGGGTTGTGAAATTATAGTAATCAAAATTCACAAATCAAGGTAATATCTATCTGATACGTTATTCTCACACGTTCTGGCGGTGATATGTGCGATCGTGCTTATGACCGACCATTAACGTACCGCCCGAAATTGGAAATTATGCCTCGATATGAATGCACGTTCTCTTATCTTGACCATCTACTTGTACTACGAAAATGCGTGCTCAGCTAAAAAAATCAGTTCAAGAGTGACGTAACAAATTCCAGACACCGCTTCACGATCGTGTTGATAGTCAAAACATACAAAAACAGAGACCAACCGACTTTATATATAAGCGCAGCACGACCTACAGCGCTATTGATCTTCTCAGAATGAGGCATTATAGTTCGCTTACAGCAATCGTTCTGCTGATGCTCGGTGGAGTGGTGAAGGGCGGGTCGCCGCCCACCGGCCGCTGGTCAGTAAAGTCAAATAAAGTCATTGAGAGACCCGAAAATAACTCAATCCATCTTTACAATTACAGTCCCTTTAGCCCCTCGATGCCAGATGAAGAGGCAGAGCCATCTGCCAAGCCAAAAAGAAACAGCCTGGACTATGAGATGCAGTCCGATGCACCGAGCGCGACCAGCGAATACAATTTGGACTCATTGCTCAAGAATTTTTTGCCCAAGTACAGCATCAAGTCGGCACCGGAGGGCATACAGCACAGATGGATGAATGATGGAAAAGCCGTGAGTCCAGTTACGTGTGGCGTGCCGCCCCTCAACTGTCTGAATGATACGAAAAATTTGCATTATCGACGCATCGACGGTGCCTGCAATAATCTCGTGTATCCAGATTTCGGCATATCTGTCTCTAGGTAAATATTTGAAAATGATTTGATTTAGCATTTCTCGTTCATTTGTTCGTCTGTATGAACATCGATTTCTTGTGAAACATTTACGCTAGGCTCACCAAACTTTGTCTGTAGACTTGTCACAGCAATTTGCGGATAAAGTTGTTTGCAAATCATATATAGCCTCGATTCTGTTTTATATGACTGCTGTAGAAATAATTGGCTTGAAAATGACTGTTGGTAGAAAAAACTTTTTGTTTATAACGATATCGCAACCTAATATTATTCGAAGTTTCATGGAAATATATTACCATATATTATATATGTTTATAATATAGGGTTATCATATATTATATATATAATATAGTATTGTCATAAAACTGCAAAAAAAAAAAAAACACTCTTGGTATCAACAACTTTTCTGTACATGATATATATTAACTAAACTTTGTTTCCTACTATTTCCCCACCAACTTCGGTATGAATTAGATGGTCCCATTATAGTCTTAGATCGAACAATTGAAAAACTGTGGTGGCGGGTAAAATTTTGATTATTCCAGACTTTTTCTGAGACTCTTTTATTTTGAATTTGCAGATTTTTACGCTTGCTGCGACCAAAGTACGCTGATGCGACCATTTCAGGAGCTCCGCTGCCAAATGCTCGACTCATCAGCCTCTCGCTCTATGGAGAGGACACTTTGGTGGACAGATATCGCACCGTCGCCGCCATGCAGTGGGGCCAGTTTGTCGCCCATGATATCAGCATGTTAAGCACCCAGGGCGCACCCAAGGACTGTTGTGCGGATCGCAACAACAAGCAGTGCTATCCCATCACTCTGCCTCGCGGCGGACCCATTTCCCATAACACGGGCAAGAGTTGTCTTCATTTTGCACGCAGCGTCTCCGACGCCGACGCCATTTGCAGCAAAAGCGATCTGGCCTATCCCGAAAAGTTGTCCGTAGTGACCGCCTTCATGGATCTGTCCTCCCTCTATGGCAGCTCTGAGGAGCAGAGCAATCGGGTGCGACTCCACAAGCGAGGTCTCTTGCGTACCAGCTATGTGCATGGCCAGAACTGGCTGCCAGTCAGCCAGAACATTGACGGCGAGTGCGGCACAAGGAACGAGTGCTACAGTATTCCCGATAAACGTAACCGCTTCACACCCACGATCGCCATTCTCCACACACTTCTGTTGCGCGAACATAACCGACTGGCTGAACAGCTGGCACTGATTAATCCGTACTTTAACGACGAACAACTGTACCAGGAGGTAAGTAGCTAGAGGTCTTATAGGCCTTACTGTGTATTCATTTCCCCTTAATTCTCTTTCTCTATTCTGTAGGCACGCAAGATCAACATTGCCCAGTTCCAGAAGATCACCTACTATGACTGGTTGCCGCTGTTCGTGGGCCACGCCTACGCCCAACTGACTGGTCTGGTGTATTCCTCGGAGCCCACTGAGTTTGTGAACGACTACGACGAGAGTGTCAATGCTGGCCCCTATGCTGAGTTTTCCGCAGCCGCTTTCCGTTATGGACACACCCAGATTCCCGGCTGGTTCTCGTAAGTGTTTCCCTGGGCATAGTCTCTGGCTATCCCCAAAATCGGACTCGCTGTTAGGCAGAAAGAAAGGCACTGCCGTGCACAAATGATAAGATATAGTCTATTAGGAGTTTCTGAAACGGTTCTATCAGCAATCAACAATCAGAGTCCTTCATCTATTCTGTTTGGATTTTCCACCAAGAAGAGTTTGGTTCAATAATTAAAGAAAATCTCTTTCCGTAGACTGGTTGCTCCCAATCGCAAGGGCAATCGCACCATGCGTCTCAGCGATTACTTCGATCGCACGGAATCCATGCGATTGATCTCCGAAGCGGACAACTATGATGGATTATTGCGCGGTCTGGCAACGCAGCTGCAGAAACGCTCGGACGCGAGCATCGATCGCGAAGTAAAGCACTACTTCAATCGCAAGGAATTCGATGAATTTGGTTCCGATCTCAAGTCCTTGGATATTCAGAGAGCACGCGATTTCGAGCTGCCCTCGTATAACGATATGCGGGAGTATTGCGGTCTAAGGCGTGCTCTGGACTGGAATGATTTCTATGGCGAAATATCGCAAGCTGTGAGCCACACTCTTTAATGTGCAATTTGGGGGTTTTATCAAAATATGTGTATTCATTTTTCTTAAAGAAAATTGCCCAGCTACGCCGACTGTATGCCAGTCCTGAGGACGTCGAATTAAGTGTGGGGGGCTCTCTGGAGTTCCATGCTCCAGATGCGCTCTTCGGGCCCACTTTCCTGTGCATTGTCGGCAAACAGTTCCTGAACACCCGACGTGGTGATCGCTTCTTCTTTGAAAACTACCGCAGTGGATTCTCTCGCTGTAAGTGATACACATACTACTTGTATATATATACATATGCAAGTATATATGCTAACCGATTTATTTCTCTCTGCAGTGCAACTGGCGGAAATCAGGAAGGCAAGTGTGGCCAGTCTGTTTTGCAATAATGCCCATTATCTGCGCTACATACAACCCAATGTTTTTGTGTTCCCCAATACACGGTGAGCTAACAACACCAATAACCTTCCTATACGAATAAATGTTTAATATTTGTTTCTCTCATCCATAGCAACATATTGCTCAGCTGCGACGATATACCCAGAGTGGATCTAAGCAAATGGCAAGTGGTGCACTAAACAAAAAATATGCGTCCGAGCCCAACGAAAAACAAAGATGACTTCGTATAGAGACTTGTTGTAGCTGAAATAAGAACTCTCCAGCTATATACTCGTACGAGTACTTCCAACACCATCGCTCATCAGAAGTTCGCATATTTTCAAATATTTTCATTATAATTTAGGCGCATTTTCTCCATATAGGCGTATTGTTGTACTATGTGTCAATAAATATATATTTTTTTTAATGATCTAACTACGGATACTTGTATATTGACTTCACCCCAGCTTGTACTTGAAACTTCCTAAAGCTACGGTCAGCCTGGCAAATAATATTTCTTTTTTCTCTTCCTCATTTCAAAAGTTGGCTTTGAAAGGTAATTTCCAAGTTAGCTTGTGATATTTCAAAAAATGGCGTTCAAATTATTTGCCTGTCTGACCACAGCTGCAGTTAAATGCCGAAACTCAAATGAAGTCTAAACTAAAACGAGAGCTGTGATCCAATTTACACATTTCAAACAATTGTACGATCCGAAACATATCTCACGACAAAATAAGTCTACAAACTATGAAAATCAAATAAACCAAAATAAATGCAATTTTACTAACATTTTTTTATATACTTGTAAGTACTCGTACGGTGAGGGTTTGTTTATTTTAAAATGTTTCATTTTCAGGAAAGTTTATTAAATATTATCATCATCAACTGTTTATACATAATAGAAGCGGTTTTTAATCAAATAATTTGCTAAGGCGGAATATATCGACATTTTTGCAGCGATTTATAAATAATAATACTGTTCAACAATAAGAATTGCTACTCTTTTCTCAACTCTACTACTCTTTTTCTCTGTCTTTCTATCTATGCCTCTCCATACCTTCGTCTCTCTTTATATATTTATATATATATATACGTAATTATTATGAGATACTTAGAGAAAAAAGGAGCAAGTTTTTCTCAAAACTTGTTTATTTTGGTTTCAACACAACTGGCCTTTTATTTTGATTATATTTTGTTTCATACTTGTATCCTTTTGCTTTCACGGTCAAGAGCTTTTCTGTTAAGCGTATTTAATGAATTATTCAGTGCGTCACAGTTTTTGAGAAACTTTAAAAGGTATTCCCTGTTCGATGTTTCCTCAATATAACTTTCTTTATATACGGGGTTTTTTTTTGCTTTGTTTTGATATTTTTCATATTTTGTTGCGCTGCTGCCACCCTCCTTGACAGCTTCAGTTCCGCAAGTCCTCCCCCTGCCCCACCTCCTCCCCCTGGACTGTTTATTTATGCGTGTGCCGGCGTTTGTTTGCTTTGTGAATACGTGATGTGTCTTTGTCGCGCGAGTGGGAGTGAAGATGATGGTATGGAGAAGAGGCGGGAGGGGGAGGAGGAGGGGAGCAAAGGACTCGCTTAAAGAAGACGTCCAGCATTTGCTTACTTAACAGTGGCAAGTGCTTTTAGAATCAGGCAGCTGGCAAGCGGCAGCCAACGAAGCAGCCAATAAGGAAAATAAGGGAAATAAGGGAAGGCAATGCCAATAATAATAATGATATGTAATAATAAAAATAATAATCATTTCTCACTTCATTTGTTGCACAAATCGAAAACGAGCTCATGACTTTCTGGCGATTTATGGCATTGAATTTTAATGAGAAGCGCAGAGAACCCAGCCAGCCAGTCAGTCAGTCAGCCAGCCAGTCAGCCAGTCAGTCAGAGAGTCATTCAGACAGTTAATCAATTTGTGGGTTTGTCCATCTGCTCTGCTATGCTCGGCTATGTTTGTCAATGTGTCCGTATGTCGGCGGCTTCCATGCATTTCTGCTCTGCACGCACAACGCTGCGTATGCGCAATCCTCATTAGATTTCATGAGTGTGCGTGTGTGTGGGGGTGTGTGGGTGTGTGGGTGTGTGGGTGTGTAATGAAAATGGCGCACATATTACGCAGAAATTACATTGAACCATTTTTATGACTTTCGGAGCAGGCCACGTGCGAAATGCAGAAAATCGTTGAAATTCAATTACGTACGAGAGGTATGGAAAAAAGAAGTTGTGGCATTAAAATAAAAATTACAGCACATCGACATCGACATCGATTCGCAATTTAAATTATACATATAACTGCTAAAGGTGAATGCGTGTGCGTGTGTGTGTGTGTGTGTGTGAGTGTGGTTGTGTGCGTGTATCTATTTAAGCGCCGTGCATTTCGCAATTTGCAAAACAGCTTCGCAGCACCGATACTCCCGCCCGCCCAACGCTTTTCCACAACTTCGTTGGCGTTTCGTTGCAGGAAGCTATAAAATTTTCCTTTTTTTTTTTTTGCCAGGAAGCCCCAGTGCGCCAACTTTGCCAAAGATATGCCGCATATCTGTCTGTGTGTGTGTGTATGGGTGTGGAAAACCGTTTAAAGGCTGCAAACGCACGGGATATTAGCATTTCACTCCAGCAAAGTTTATCGAAAGGCAATCATAAGCAATTTATTAAAACGGACACGCAGAAAAAAGGGGAAAAAACTTTTGCCACCCAACCAGGGACAGGGAATAAGAGAATCGCTTTGCAGTACAGACAGAACTCGTTTATTAAAATTACTCGCCCATCCCATTCTCTTCAGCGAATGCGCAATATTCAGCTTAGATATTAGAAAGATTTGCATCACATTTTAAATAAACTGGACTTCAATTCCTAGTTTACTTGTATTTGCCAAAAGCTAGTGCTTCACTGGGATTTCAATTTAAGCTGAACCTCTTCTTTGCGTTTGAAACCGCTGTGAATAGAATCCATGTAGCTGACTTCTTCACGTCTCCTTTTAAAGAAATGACAAATGCAGTGAAAAAGTGTACAAATATATGTGTCTTGACTATAAAAAGACAGACAAATTAAAGTGGTAACAAAAAAGCGCTACTAATCATACAAATATGTACACACAAGTGCGAGCGAGTTTTTGAAACAGCAATTAGGTTTTTAGGAAATACTTGTGCTTTTGGATAGAAATGTTTCTCACATTTATCAATTATAGTATATGATATTGTGGCAGCTCCTGGCATTGAATCAATCGAGCTCTCGCACTTTACCTGGGATATGCGGCTTCAGGATTCCTCAAGTACACCCCAAAACTCCTTTCGAGGGGAAACATCTATTTTCACGTCAGCCAAAAAATATTCTATCGGGCTCTGCTCTGGCAACTGAGCAGACTTGTACTTATTTGAACTTATATTTATATTATTATATTTATTTACTTATTTGTACTTATATTTTAACACAAACATGTTGGTCCATTATTTGCTACACACTTTTCGTGTTTAATTGCTTTGAAGGTATATTTGGGGCTATGTTCGAATTCGGGTTTTTATGAAACAATTATTAGATTTCATGCAGCCGGTATATCTACGGTTTTCTACAGCAGAGATATTTCTCACATACTTCAGACAGAAATCTCTCTGTACAGTTTAAAACGCCCCCCTCTTTTTTTCTGTATTTCTTTAATTTTTTTTGTCATTTTTTGGACAATCTCTGACGTGTCGCTTGGGTAATTAAATATTATTAAGTTGTTAATTTTAAAATTGGTTTTTCATTTCTATGCCAGAAGCCACCTAGCTGCTGAAGTATTCAAGTTTAATTTTGAGCTCAACTTTAAAATATATTTTGAATCATGTTTAACTAGTATTGTTTGAATCCACTAGAAAGATATTAAATCTTTTGTGAACCGATTCTGAACCAAAATGGTGCCCAGTTTGAATTCAATTTTAAAAAGAGAGAAACCTTTAAATCCTTTAAATAGCTCTGATCATAGGGAAGATATGTCCCTCAGACACTCATGAATTCCTTTAAAATACTTTCAAAAGAACTTAATGAAAACTTTTGATAAAGCCAATAGCTTCGGCACAGATTTAGAGCAAACTAACGTACACACTATAAGTATGTAAAATACATAATTAAATCGATTTTTTGGTAAAGAATAAATGAAAGCAAAATATAGCTTTTAGCCAAATATTGTTCTTGAAAAATTAGAATAAGGATAAGGACTGTCTAAACTGATTTTAGCCATTCAAGTAATGTCTCTGGCATATTTAATTGGCTGCCAAATTGTGTGCAAAAATTTCAATTTGCTAACAAGCTAGCGTTTTCTTTTTCAAAACCAGAAAGTATGTGTCTGTAATGGATCCAGCGATGAATATTCATCTGTGTAATAACTGGAATCTTCCGTTCTGCTAAATCTGGGGAAGACCAACCCTCTTCCAAGTCATATTCTTTTTAATAACTTTCTTGGAATATTTGGTTTTAAATTCTTAAGTCTTACTTCGACACAGAATGTATATTTTCATATATGATTCTTATAGGTTTAATAAATAAAAAGAGGGTATCTAAACGTTAGGCTAGCTTCCACTTATGTATGTATATTTTTTCAACAGCGCATGCAGAGTCGTTGACTTGTGGAGGATGTGTGTAGCACACATTTGAGGGCAACGAGGACCACGCCGAGAAGCCCGGCGATGATGAGGAGGATGCCGCCATTCATTAATCAAGTTCACAGCACTTTAAAGTGGGTGCGAGGCGCATTGTCAGCTACTTGCAAAGGCTTCAGCCTCAGCCTCAGATTCAGATTCAGACTAAGAATCAGTCACTGTCTCAGTCTCAGTTCAAGTTTAGTTTGCAGTTTTAATTTTCAGATTATCGTACGAGTACATATGTTGGGCATACAACATAAATTATGCGGCCATATAATGATGCGATAATAAAGCCACAGCAGTTGGCATTAAAAGGGGCATACTCGTTTGTATGGCTCGCCCAGCCCATCCCTTTCACAACACATCAGCACGGCCCCTCCACGCTCCATATTCCACACTCCACACCTACAGGAAGAAGCAATCCTTGGGGAGTTTTTGCCGCCCATATGAACAGTGCAAGCGTTAAGGCAATAAACGTTGATAAAGTCATAAAAAAAACGAGCGCCAAGGAATAGAAAAGAAAAACCAATGCAAGCTGCCAGCCATGTATGGCCCTCCCCCTGCCACACCCCCTACGCCCCCATCCATTTACGCATCACGCGTCTTGTGGCTAAGCAAACAAAAGCGCGTCCAACGGCAATTTCTGGGCATGGAAAGGCTTAGGCATATGCTGCCACAATAACAACGTATTTTGGTTAACCAGCGACCCCCAGACACCCCCCTCCTTCCTACACAGCCACTGTGCCGCCTACACAAAAGGAGCAAAACGTAACTGGGGCGGCAACGAAGCTGAAATATCCTTTAAAGCTGCCAC